GATGCTGAGGCAGGCTGAGGCTGAGGCTGAGGCTGAGGCTGAGGCTGAGGCAGGCTGAGGCTGAGGCAGGCTGATGCAGGCTGAGGCTGAGGCAGGCTGAGGCTGAGGCCGAGGCTGAAGGCAGACTGAGGCTGAGGCTGAAGCAGGCTGAGGCTGAGGCTGAGGCAGGCTGAGGCTGAGGCTGAGGCAGGCTGATGCTGAGGCTGAGGCTGAGGCTGTGGCAGGCTGAGGCTGAGGCAGGCTGAGGCTGAGGCCGAGGCTGAAGGCAGACTGAGGCTGAGGCTGAAGCAGGCTGAGGCTGAGGCAGGGCAGGCTGAGGCTGAGGCTGAGGCAGGCTGATGCTGAGGCAGGCTGAGGCTGAGGGCTGAGGCTGATGCAGGCTGAGGCTGAGGCAGGCTGAGGCTGAGGCCGAGGCTGAAGGCAGACTGAGGCTGAGGCTGAAGCAGGCTGAGGCTGAGGCTGAGGCAGGCTGAGGCTGAGGCTGAGGCAGGCTGATGCTGAGGCAGGCTGAGGCTGAGGCTGAGGCTGATGCAGGCTGAGGCTGAGGCAGGCTGAGGCTGAGGCCGAGGCTGAAGGCAGACTGAGGCTGAGGCTGAAGCAGGCTGAGGCTGAGGCAGGCAGGCTGAGGCTGAGGCTGAGGCAGGCTGATGCTGAGGCTGAGGCTGATGCAGGCTGAGGCTGAGGCAGGCTGAGGCCGAGGCTGAAGGCTGAGGCTGAGGCTGAAGCAGGCTGAGGCTGAGGCTGAGGCAGGCTGAGGCTGAGGCTGAGGCAGGCTGAGGCTGAGGCAGGCTGAGGCTGAGGCTGAGGCTGATGCAGGCTGAGGCTGAGGCAGGCTGAGGCTGAGGCCGAGGCTGAAGGCAGACTGAGGCTGAGGCTGAAGCAGGCTGAGGCTGAGGCTGAGGCAGGCTGAGGCTGAGGCTGAGGCTGAGGCTGAGGCAGGCTGAGGCTGAGGCTGAGGCTGAGGCTGAGGCTGAGCAGGCTGAGGCTGAGGCTGAGGCTGAGGCTGAGGCCGAGGCTGAAGGCAGGCTGAGGCTGAGGCTGAAGGCAGACTGAGGCTGAGGCTGAAGCAGGCTGAGGCTGAGGCTGAGGCAGGCTGAGGCTGAGGCTGAGGCAGGCTGATGCTGAGGCAGGCTGAGGCTGAGGCTGAGGCTGATGCAGGCTGAGGCTGAGGCAGGCTGAGGCTGAGGCCGAGGCTGAAGGCAGACTGAGGCTGAGGCTGAAGCAGGCTGAGGCTGAGGCTGAGGCAGGCTGAGGCTGAGGCAGGCTGAGGCTGAGGCTGAGGCAGGCTGAGGCTGAGGCTGTGACTGCGACTGCCGTTGCCACTGCGACTGTCATCGCGAATGCGACTACGACTGCGAGAACAGCAGAATTCTACAACTGGATTCTCATCCGAATCTTAAGGGGAATGCTTCCAGATATGCTCCTACACATCGATGTTAGGTTGCTTTGCCGGGATAATTGTTCCCCCAGTTGATTCCTCTGTCCACAGGCGGGACGGGGGACAGGACCCCCCCCCCCCCACGCCACCGGAACCCACACCACCGTACCCCCCCCCCTCCCCTCCCCCTGCCCCGGCAGAGCCACTCCGGTCACCCCCTCCCCCTTCAACTCACACGCCGGATCGGCGGATTCCAATCCCCACGGGCCGTGACATCTCAGTCCCACCATCCAACCACCCTAATTTTGGGATGGTCCCGTCAACTCGGAGGGGACAGCCCATATCCCCATCCAGGGGCTGGGAACTCGGCCAGTGAGGCCCAGGCCACGCCAGTGGGGATTGGGATGGGTTACGCGATGCTCAGAGGGGTGAGGACGAGGAGGAAAAGGAGGAGGAGGAGGAGGAGGAGGAGGAGGAGGAGGAGGAGGAGGAGGAGGAGGAGGAGGAGGGGAGGAGGGGAGGAGGAGGAGGAGGAGGAGGAGAGGAGGAGGAGGAGGAGGAGGAGGAGAGAGGAGGGGGAGGAGGACGATGAGGAGGAGGAGGAGGAGGTGGCGGAGGAGGATGGGAAGAGGAGGAAGAGGAGGAGGTGGATGATGAGGAGGAGGCGCGGGAGGAAAAGGAGGAGGCGGCGGCGGAGGAGGAGGAGGAGGAGGCGGAGGAGGAGGAGGAGGCGGAGGAGGAGGAAGAAGAGGAGGAGGAGGCGGAGGCAGGGAGGAGGCAAGGAGGAGGCACGGAGGAGGCAGGGAGGAGGTAGGGAGGAGGCACGGAGCAGGCAGGGATGAGGTAGGGATGAGGTAGGGAGGAGGCAAGGGGGTGGCAGGGAGGAGGCAGGGAGGAGGCAGGGAGGAGGCAGGGTGGAGGCAGGTATGTGGCAGGAGGAGGCAGGGAGAAGGCAGGGAGGAGGCAGGGAGGAGACATGGAGGAGGCAGGGAGGAGGCAGGGAGGAGGCAGGGAGGAGGCATGGAGCAGGGAGAAGGCAGGGAGGAGGCAGGGATGAGGCAGGGAGGAGGCAGGGAGGAGGCAGGGAGGAGGCAGGGGGGAGGCAGGGAAGAAACAGGGAGGAGGCGGGGAGGAGGCAGGGAGGAGGCAGGGAAGAGGCAGGGATAAAGGCAAGGAGGCGGAGGCGGAGGCGGAGGCGGAGGAGGAGGAGGAGGAGGAGGAGGAGGAGGAGGAGGAGGAGGCGGAGGCGGAGGCGGAGGCGGAGGAGGCGGAGGCGGAGGCGGAGGCGGAGGCGGAGGCGGCGGCGGAGGTGGAGGATGAGGATGAGGAGGAGGAGGAGGATTATGCTGGATTATGCTAGCCTGATCTCCGCAGCTGCGAGGCACGCACCACGGCGACGTTGAAAGCTTCCCCTACCCCAGGCCGTCCCTGGGCGAGAAAGTTCGGCGTTGGTCAACAAAAAGAGCCTTTCTTGAGGTGGGTGCCAACCTGAGCCCTTTCTCGAATGATAGCTGACGACGTGGACCCCCAACTATCCCCTCGGCCTGTCGTGCAAGCCTCGCACCCAACCATTTCGCGCGCGAGCGGATCCCAGCGTCGTAGCTGATGACTGCCTTCTCGCACTTCCTTTCTCGCACCGACAGCCGTTGCTGCCACGGCCTGTCCTTGTCGCACGAGTTGCTTCCAGCGTCGGAGCTGAATGTGGCTCGCTCGAGTTTTTCTTGGGCTCCAGCTTCGCCCCCCGCTTCCCGCAAGAGGTTGGCCGTGACGAGCCCTTCCCCGAATAGGCTAGCTAGGATGACGTTGGGCTCCAGCGTTGCCTCCCGCTTCTCAGGACGAGTAGAAGGAGGAGAAGGAGGAGGCGGAGGAGGAGGTGGAGAATTACCAAGCGCGCTATAGGCTTCAAGGGCACCTAAACCCATCTTTAAGGATGAGGCGGCCATCAGCGAAATACTGGAGACTTGGCGACTGCGAGAGATACAGAATCTGGTAGTTGGCCGACCGCAAGCCACATTCTCCAAGTCGGAGGTACTGCTGAACTCTATCGGCCACCTGCTGACACCAGGGGGGTCCACGTACCCGTTTTTTCGTTGCCAGCGGCCGTGAAGACGTATTCCACCCCACTTATAGTTTTCGGCCATACCTCGGGATAGGGTGCCAAATCCTTCGACGGGGATTTGGGAAATCACCCCCGCTCTGATCGAGCGGATTGGGGCTCCACTGTCGAGGAATACCCCTCCGGGCGCAGCACCGAAATTCGTGACATTTTCGTTGCGTCACGAATTTGGGTGCGATCTGGCTCCTCGACCCGTTGAAAGGGCGACCTCGGATTTTGGCTCTACCGGCCTATCCCCGCTGTTGGGACGAGCCTGCCCATCTGCTATCCCACGACTGTGGAAGTAAGCAACCCTCAACACACGCAAAACGGCCAACCGCAACAACCATTTGCTGTATACAAGGACGGGTAGAGAAAGCACAGCTAGAGCCGGGGCGCTAACACAGGCAAGATATCCAGACCAGAGGGGATCTAGGCTCACTCCCCACAACGTGTGTGGTTCGAGGGCCGCCCCAGTTCCCTAGGACACAAGACACAAAGGGCCCCAGGACGCGGGGGGCAAATCGAAGAACGATGCTCCCGCACTCTGCGGGGGATGCAGCCAGGGGGGGCCACAGGCTGGCCCGGAACGATTCCAGGGGCCAGCACAACGGCCAAGCCAGCTGGCCGCTCTGGAGCATCGTTTCGTGTGAGACGCCCAGGGTGGCACCTTTTTGTGCCCCGGGGTCTCCGGAATGCTCTCGGCGAGGCGCAGCCGACGCAAGTGCACGATAGGGCGTCTCCTGGAAAGCAACGTCGAGTCGCGGCCGATGGGAAATCCCAACCGGCCCCATGGCGGACCGTGCATTTCTGCACTCGGCCGCATGGGCCTCTGATGTGGTAAGGGTACCTCCCCGAAACGACAAGATGCCATCCGTGCACATTGACACCTCACCCCCCAATGTTATCTCGGCCACGCAGCCGGGACAGACGCTAAACCACATATCAGAACCTCGCACGCTTGGATTCTAGCTTGAACCGCCGCCGAGGGGCGGACAAATCCTGCCCCCTCAGCAAGGCGCGCGCGCTATGATTCTAGTTTGTTGCGTCCCCGGGGTGGACCATCAGACGTCGATGTACCACTGGATTTCCCCGACGTGCTTTCCTGCACCGAGTCCACATCGCGCACTGGGTCCCATGCTGAACCTATAACCTATACTGGGCCCATTTCGGGCCGCTGTTAAGAAATCCAATGGTACACAGCTCTCGCTGTCACACACGGCCAGGAGGCGGAGGAGGCAGAGGAGGCGGAGGAGGAGGAGGAGGTGGAGGCGGATGCGGAGGCGGAGGAGGAGGGGGATGAGGAGGCGGAGGAGGAGGAGGATGAGGAGGAGGAGGAGGATGGTGCTCAGGCCACGCCGGTGGGAATTTGTGGTCGGCCCAACGATGCTCACTGAAGCCCTCCGATCCTGCGCGCCGCCGAGGGGCGTAGGCTCGATCGTGGCTGGCTCCTCCGCCCGGCCTCGCCTGCCCGCGGCTGCTGGGCGCAGCCGCCCGCCCGCGCGCGCGTGCGCCGCGCCGCGCGAGGCCTGGAACCGCCAGTGTCCTGGAGAGATGCGGGAAATCAGGCGGGCCGGGGGGGCCCGAAGATCCGAGGCTCCAAAGGAGTTGGAGCTGTTGCTGTTGCTGTGCTGTTGATTTTCATTTCTAAAGAATATTCTAGATTTCGTAATAAAGGGAGGGGGGTCTCATTTCGGGGGGGGTCTCTTCAGGCTATCTTGGAGGGCCTGGGGTGGTCTGGGGACGATGTTTTGGAGGGTTCTCCCACGAGGGGGGGTCTGAAATGGCTTGTCTTGGAGGGTCCAGACCCCCTCCCTTTTATTACGAAATCTGGAGTACTTGTAGTTGATCCCCCCTACCTGGTGCACCTTATGTTTTTCAATCAAAGGACTTCACCCGGGGCTTGCACCCTGTTTTCTAGAACGGGAAAGTCTTCCTCCTCAGATTGCGCTCTCGCGTGGGACTTCTCGTAATTTATTCAGACGCCGCGCCCTGGACGCTCAAGAATTTCGCGGCCCCTCGACGCTCAGGAAGTGAGCTCTCGCTCTGGCTCTTCTCACGATTTACTTGGGAATCGCGCTATCGCGCGAGAATTTCTCGCGATTCATGCGGGACTCACGCTTCAGCGACCCGCCTGCTCGACCTGGCCGCCTGGGCCCGCGTTCCCGACCCCGCCCGACCTGCCTGTCTGGTTCTGCCACGTATTTTCTGCTCCAAGCCCCCCTCCTGCTAGTCTCTCTCGTGCTCCATCCTTCTCCTTCACCCTTCCATCCGTCCTCTCTTCCCCTGTTTTAGGGGCTGCGCTACATGCAAGTGGCAGGTAGGAAAAATATACACCCAAGGGGGTACGATCGAAGACGACGAAGGCGGGTACCGAGGGTTTGGGGTATACGTGTTGAGGCGCACGCGAACGTATGGGAGCGATCAGTCTTAAAATGAGCGTTGTTGAATTTTTATTTTACGAAGCAACTATTGTTGATCCCCCCGCCCTGGCAACCATTGTATTTTTCAAGTGAAGTGTCCCCTTCGGGGCTCGCACCTTGTTGTTGATCAGGGAAAGCTTGGTGTCACCAAACTGTGTTGTTGGGCCCCGAACACCAACAAACACTAATAATAACAACCAACAGCAAACAACAACAACATCAACAACAGCAACAGCAACAGCAACACCACCAGCACCAACAACAGCAATTTTATAACTGTTCGATCTTATCTGCTCAAGTGTCATCCGACGTGTACTTCCTTAAGCCCTCGATGCCCGCCCTGTTCGTCTTCGATCGTCCCCCCCCCAGGGGGTATATCTTTCTTCCCTGCAGGCTGGGCCCCGGCAAGCGGCGGGGCGGCCGCGGACCGTCGGCCTTGCCAGCGGCAGCGCTGACCGGCGGCAGCCCGACCCACCCCAAGAGGGACGGACAGGAGACCGACGACGACGACGAGCGAAAGCGCGAGCGAGAGCGTCAGCGACAGCGGGGCCACGAAGGGCAGTGATGGGGCCACGAAGGGCAGCAAGGGGGCCACGAAGGGCGACGGCGGGGCCGCGAAGGGCATGCGCATGGGGCCGCGAAGGACGCGAAGGAGCGGGCACCACGAAAGGCGAACGACGGGGCCACTGAGGGTAGCAACGGGGCCACGTAGGACAGCGAGGGGGCCACGGAGAACAACAGCGGTTCCACGAAGGGGATGCATATGGGGCCACGACGGGCGCGAACGAGCGGGGGCCGCGAAGGGCGTGCGTATATTGGGCCAGGCCGCAGAGGGCAAGGGCGGGGCCACTGAGGGCAGCGACGGGGCCACGAAGGGCAGCGAGGGTGCCGCGAAGGGCAACTTCGGGGCCACGAAGCGCGTGCATATGGAACCACGACGGGCGCGAACGACCGGGGGCCACGAAGGGCATGCGTATATGGGGCCACGAAAAGCACCGACGGGGCCACGAAAGGCTGCAACGGGGCCACCACGGGCAGCGAGACGGCCATGACGGGCTGCAACGGGGCCCGTATGGCAACGCGGGGGCCACGAAGGGCTGCAACAGGGCCGCTACGGGCAGCGAGGGGACCGCGAAGGGTTGCAACGGGGCAACGAAGGGCAGCGACGTGGGCCACGAAATGCTGCAAATGTGCCACGAAGGGCAGCGAGGAGGCCACGAAGGGCTACCACGGAGCCACGAAAGGCAACGATGGGGCCACGAAGGGTTGCAACGGGGCCACGAAGGGCAGCGAGGGGGCCACGAAGGGCTGTAACGGGGCCACGAAGGGCAGCGAGATCCCGATTCCTAAGTATGCTGTGAGGAAGTCCTGAGCGTGAGCGCAATTCCTGGGTGCCTGAGTTTTGGGGGCGCGGCGGTTGATTAAATTGCGGGGAATCCCAACGCAAAGGCGCGATGCTGCAATAAATGGCAAGCGAGTCTGCGGCGAGAGCGCGACTCTACAGCGCCGAGAGAGCGATTCCTGAATAAATTGTAAGGACGTCTCAGGCGAGAGCGCAATTCCGGAGTAAAATGCGAGGAAGTCTCAGGCGGGAGCCGCTGTTG